TCTGAGTTGTTTGTTGTTTTTCATATTTTTGTCAAGAGGATTGCCTTGTCTTCTACTGCAAACCCAATCTACTTATGGGTACAAATAAAGTAACCTTGAAAATTGGAGATCCTTAAAGAGGAGAAGAGAATTTTAACGGTTTAATGCAAATACACAGTAATATAGATTTAAAAGTAATAGACTTATAATAATTGTAAAACATGCTTACAAAAAAAGGAAGGGGAAGGAAAAATGTTTTAAGCAAGCTTGGTTGAAATGACTTTTTTTCCTTTGACAGCAACAGCTGAAGAGAGAAGAAAATGGGTGAGAGAAAGGGAGTGGACGACATACAGCAGAGGGCTAGAACACAATCTACCAGGTGAGCTACCAGTGCACACCTTAAGCAAGCTTTCTAAATGATGAAGCTGGTGATTTTCTATATTTTTCCAGGGGTGCTGGAATAGGGGTGGGGAGGGGGCTGCAGCACCCCCTGAAATTAGGCATGATGAAAACCATTAGTTTAAACATATAACGTTTCTCCTTTTATACTGGGATTTACATGTACACTGGTATTACCTTTAAGGTATAAGGTTTTACCTTTTCTATCCTTTTTATCCACTAAATGTGATAGAATTGGTGTAAAATGATGTTAATAACTATTAAATAGGATATGAATGATCCTGGTCACATTCAAATTAATGCAAAAACCATGCATGTCATGCATTTAGTATGACGTCATATATAGACAGACTTTCTCTCAGCACCCCCAAGTCTGACCGAGTTCCTGTGTCCCTGTATGTTTCTGACTCCAAACAAATCCCACGTGCTGACCCAACACTGAATGTATCTACTAACAAGTACTGTGTGTATCCAAAGGCTGATATATCTCCTTCCTCTGTGGCATAGAGCTCCACTGTCCAAAAACTATTAAAAACACATGAGCCACACTGACATGTTCCTTCATTACCATGAACAGTTTATCTTGCCTCAATCCCACACACACCGTCGTGTTGCCCCAAATACTCACTAGAGCACTAAATGTGTATATATCCTCCACTGAAAATAGTCCCAAACAAATTTTATGAAATGACCTTGGCCTTTAAAAAAATTTAACTATATTTGTAGAATGTTGTAATATTTTTCATGTGAAGGACCCCCACAATAGATGCACATTAGACCACAGACCCCCAGTTCTTGAGGATTTTGTCTTAAGTAATGCCCTTATGTATTGAGTATTTTCTTGTTAATGTTAATTTTTAGGTTTTAAGTTTATAGTCTCCTTAGTTAATCAATGCTAAAACTGTGATCAATGTAAATTATAATCAGTAAAAAACGACCAACCCAATTACTTTTTATGTTGTTTCAATTTCGAAAAAACTGTGATAAAAGTCAAAATGTTCTATTTCTTCTTAAAATGGGGACCCTATAACCCTAGACAATCACTGGTTTAAATATTTACATCTTCAGTTGAAATCAATGGCCGCCACAGACAGGGTAAGGAAGCCAGAAAACATTGAGAACACACTGTTGGTTTTATTTGTTTCATGGACAGTAGGGCAAATACAGAATAATATCAATCTCATCCTTTAATGTGTAAAAGAGAAATTATGCAGAAAATGAATTCATTCACAGATCAAACCTCCACTTGGAAGCTCCCCGTATTTTTCCACATGGCACAGAGCCGCAGGATCTTCCGCCTGCCTCTCTCTCGTCGCATGAACTCTCTGTGTTGTTTTGCAGTTGTTGACGTGCGCCTTTGACGTTGCTTCACATTTTCCTTCAGCATAATTGATGGTGACAGTGTCAAGAGACTTGAGACCAAACAAAATCATATTACAGCCAAGTGGTAGTTGCCAAACTGCCTTGTCATGGTATGAATATTTCATAGACGTACACAAACAGCATGACATGGGGGGTACACAATACTCCTGTTACTTTTTCATAAGTTAATTAGTCCCACTAAGCAATTAGAATTTCTGATTAGGTAAACAATGAGCATGAAATGAGTTTCCCAAAACCTTTGCATCCCCAACACATGTGTCTCCGCTGAGAAAAAACAGAATGAATTGTTTATGCGTTGCATCCATATAAAGGCCTCAAGTGGGTCATGTTTAGCTTCCTCTGCCAGTATATGCAAACACTGTTCAAACTAATGTAGTAAAAGAAGTGTAGGGGTGAGGATGAGGAGAGATGCAATCAGCTCCTCCGCTCATGGCAGGATTCATGTGCAATCCAGCAAAACACACAGAGGCTAATTACCAGCACCCTTACTCACCCATCCATCTACTTAGACAACATCCCTGCTGCTAAGTGGCCGTTGCTGTGGTTTTATATGTACTTTTAAAATGCATAAGATTAAGTGGAAAGACCTTGTATTACAGATAAACAGTACACTACTGGTTTGTGAAAAGATTTTAGGAGAGAAATAGTCAAAGTAGTAACAGAATGTTGATTTATATTTGATCAGCACTGCCTAGTTTGACAGTGAAGATAAAACCAGTTCATTCTAAGGTAACTAAAACACAACAATTCTTATTTCTAGGTGATTATACACTAATGAAAACAAAACTATGAATGGATATTCTTTTCCATCTCTGACAGTCCTCCTAAATGTTTCACATTGGACCTCTAAATTATGAAACTGATGTGAAAATGTACCTGTAGTTTATCTATGGGAAATGGTGAGTTAGCGTCCATTATCACGACGGTCGTGAAGGTTTCAACGGAAACACTAAAAGAATTTATTTAAGAAGAATAAGAAGAATTTTTAAAAGAAATCCACCAGTGGTGTAGCCTGTGATAGAAGAAAACACACTTTTTCCTAGCTAACATAACTTTTTTTAAACCCACCACTGCTCTCTCCTTCTGCTTCCTCTTGCAGTTGTCAAATATGGTACAACAACAACGTGTAAAGCCAGAATATTGCCACATCTAACTGGGTTCGACACCAGAGATGCTGATTGCTGGAACAGTGGAAAGACTAATAAAGATGGCTTAGTGAGTTTTATTTTGTTTCTGTCGAGTTTAAATAAAGTATATTGAGATGAGTTAATAAGGCCTTGGTTGGGTATAAGAGAGAAACTTGAATTTAGAAAGTGTACAGTTTGACTTTGAATTCAATTCAATTCAATTTTATTTGTATAGCGCCAATTCATAACAGAAGTTATTTTTCAAATAGAGCAGGTCTAGCTTACAATGCTAAGCTAACACTTCGCTGTGTAATGAGGAAAATAGATGTTTATGCTAATTTTATTTTCCTTTCTTGTAAGTTTATTTTATTTGTTAGAGCTATTAGAGCTTGTGAGACATACTCATCTCCCAGCTGCAACTACTGGGGAAACAACTTGGTGGACGGGAGTGTGGGGGGCTCGCTGGTGCAGCACACGTCTATGCGCGAGTGTGTTGCCAATTGCTGGTTGTCAGATTGACGGTGGCCAGTTGGAAAATTTTAACATATCGCCCACCCCATTGTCCAACTGGAAGTAGACCCCGGGGTGGACCCAGAAATTGCTTGAGGGACTACTCTTCCACAGATATATTCTGTCATAGTTTTTGATTAAATTGACACTGCTTGAAAACAGCAGAAGAGACAGGCTAAATTGGAAAATGTGTGTAACAGTGGTTGTCCCATTTCTTCACATACTACTGCTAAAGTATCACTTAATCATCACAGATCAGATGCTGTATTGGACCAATAGAGAGCATTTGGTCAGTCCCACCTTTTGGAGCCAATCAGACAGCATTCCTACCTCATAAGAAAGGAAACCTTGTCTTTGTGTGTCATGTGGCCGAGATATCCTGGTTTCACGAGACCAACACACTCTCTAAATCTCTTTCCCTTTTTTTCACTCTGACATTTTCAGCTCTGTCTAATCAAGTCTTTTTTTGACCTCAGCCTCTTAATCAGTTTACCATGTGATGGCACGAGTTGTTGGAACACTATCAATTCCCCCAACTGCAGGAGGAAGACTGGCACACAAATGCTATTTTATTCTACAACCATCACCAGGCATATTTTAGTTGCAAGAAAACCCAACAACTCTTGGACTAATATCTAATATCATAGAGGACTTACCACAAGCCTAAGACCCTTGATGGTTAAATTTCACCAGCTTGACACAGGAGACCAGCTGAGAGGCTAATTCCAACATGGCTATTACTAGAAGGACAGCTAAAATATTAGAAATATGGCTTTAGAAATGAGTGTGGATTTAAACTTCATCGTAACTAGACGTTATTATGCTAAATAATTATTGTTTAAAGCTGCAGTAGGTAACTTTTATAAAAAATGACCTGTTGTCATATTTGCTGAAACTTTCACTATATCCTGATGGTCTTACATGAGACGGATAATCTTATTTATACAACTTATTTGTATGAGAATTACCTACTGCAGCTTTAAACCAATAACAATGCGTCACATTTGTTCAGTTGAAAAATGTATGTCTGAAATGTAGTGGAATGGACTATAAAGAGGCAGAAACATTACTTTTCCCACTCTGGCAGTGACCAAAGACTGGTTCATGCTTCAGGAGAAGTATGTGCTGAAACGCAAGCAAGCGTTTTATTTTGAAAGTCACGACCAGAAGTCATTCCACGCGGATTGTCATCTGTGCTGTGTTATTATACCGAAGGCAGGGCGACGTCGTCAAATTAAAAGACCATGTCACTTAAGAATAACCCGTAGAATCTGGCACGATTATTTTCGCCAACAACAGAAATTAAATTTCTATCTCTGCAAAGTCTTTAGAAAATCAGTGGAACCGAGATCGAATCCTGTGGACCATGCTGATCAGGTATGTTATGGCCATTGTCTATTTACATTGGTGCATCATACCCCAAATATTATTTGTTTGGAAAATTCTAACTTTTTATTATTTTACTCCAGAATCTATTTTACCACAAGCTTAAAAGTTCATTATCAAGGGGAAATATCCAAAGTCAACGAGTTGCAAAGCTAGAACTCTTAATACAAAAGGCAGTATTGCAAGGTTTTGTCACTGGCTTCACCTGTTATTATTGAGCTGTGGGAAACCAGATCTATAGGAGAAACTCAACACCATAATTTAACACCGCAAATGATACATGTATATGCATTATATCACTATAACACCATGTATTATGCATGAAGTGTTGATAAATATTTAAAGGAGCAATCCTTGATTTCAGCAGGCTACTGTCTCATTTGCACACCAAACTGATGAATGGGGTAAGAGACCGTAGGGCACCACAGTAATTTACATCCCTCTCTTCTGATACATTACACTTTTTCCAAAACGCAGCCTTTCATCATCGAAAACCTCATAACAATTCACATGTAGAACAAAAGTCGTTTTAAAATGTCTGTCAAATGACAAACTGACAATAATATCCAATATGACTATTATTAGACATGACTGTTCAGTTTTGCTGAGTCCATCCTTTTAATGCCACAGACAGACTAGGACTGCTACACCCAGAAGATCCCAGGATCTCTACTCATACGATTTCCATGATGTGAGCCACCCCGAGGAGGTCCTGGATGCCCTGAGGAGCTTCTACTCTGATGGCCTGTTCACAGACATCGCCCTGCAGTGCTCCTCTGGCCAGGTTCTGCGCTGCCACAAGGTGGCACTCTGCGCACGCAGCTCATACTTCAGGGTCATGTTCACTGCTGACATGAAGGAGAGGACTGATAGCCTTGTCAGGTATGTGTGAGTGTGTGGGAGGAAGGGAGCAGTAGGGGTCATCATGGATGGATTATGCCAATTAAAGAGACTAAAAGCGCTCATATTGGATCCCCCGCTGCCATCTGCAGGCAATCAGCATTGACCCACCTTGTTCATCTGCATCATCTGCATCAACCCAATCAAGCCTGGTCTTATTGTGTAAGCAATACTAAATATTGAAGGGAGACACTCTTGTATGCAAATGTGTATGGATGAGTGGATAAAAAGCACTTAGGGCAATGTTATTTGCATGAATAGGAAATATTAAATCATGACAAAATAATAACAGCATAGAGTATACTGGTTCATATTGTGGCTTACAGCATCACATACACCTTTCTGGCAGTTAGTTATCCAGTTGAGGACATATTGCAAATGGAATGATTTAGAGATTTTAAAGGCTGTCATTCAGGTGGACAAGCTTGGTTCACGTCCCGTGTTGCTAACATCGGCAAACATCTGCTGAGCTGTACTGGCCTTAAGAGAGACAATGAAGCCCTACCAGCTCCAGCAGGGCTGTTCTCCAGCTCTCCCTGACCTCTGACCTCCCTGTAAGAGAGGGGGCAGGAGAAAAGAGAGAACATATTCTTCAAGGAATCAATAAATTATCACAAAAGACCTTTGAAACCACCATGGTGTCACCAGGGTCTTGTATTCTGCCTGAGCAGATGGTAATAGTTATCAGGGGAGCTGGGTCATGAAGATAATTTTTACAGCGTTTTTCTTCCATATTGTCCCCCATGATGAAATTATTGGGAACAATGGTGTTCACCCAATTACCCCGTTTAATGGATGTCAGGAGCACTTGTGGGGAATATTAGTTTAACTTTCAGAGGTTTAAAAAGCCAAAATAAGGGTTTTTTCATGTGCCAATATCTTAACTTTTACAAACTGACTATTGTGTTTCAGTATTTATGGAATGTGATCTTTTCATTTCTGATTTCAGCCGCTTTAGCTATGTTCACATTGCAATTCTGATTCTTTGCTCAGATCTTATTTTTTTGTTTGGCTGTTAACATTATTTTTTGAATGTGGCCCATATCAAAGTCACAAAGATCCAGATTCCATGTGATTTGTGACACATATGAGTAAAAAACGTACGCGTTGTTGCTGACATGACGTAAAGCAGAATCTGTGTGGAAGAGAATGCATCCATATAACTTAAATTGGATGCTGTGAAAAGTCAAAGTGACATTTTTATGTACCTTCCTTTGTCCTTCATTTGGTATTCTTTTAGAATAATTGTTGGGTTATAAGACTACCACTTGATTAACTAATGATTCAAGTTTAATGCCTTCAATATCCAAAGAAGGTTGGATGCTGGCATGCCAGACAGCCAACAGGCAACATATGTTTATTTTTAAGATATGCTGCCGCAACTTTGCCGATGGTAGACAATCACTCCGTGCACTTGCTACATCAACCACCAGTCTCTCATCTAAAGTCCCTATTTATTCCACTTCTCCTATTCAGCTTTCCTCTCTTCCCAGGCTGCCGGTGGTGGAAGTGGAGGTCTTGTCAGCCTTGGTAGACTACATCTACTCCTCCAGACTCACCATAACCCAGCTGAACGTGGAGAGCATGCTGAAGGCTGCTGACCTGCTGCAGTTTGGAGCAGTGAAGAGGGCCTGTGAGGCCTTCTTAGTGCGTCTGCTGGATGTAGACAACTGCCTCGGCATGCTGGCGTTTTCCCAGCTCCACGCATGCCTCACCCTGGAGAAAGAAGCCCGCAGGCTACTAGCAGGCAGGTCAGATATCGACTCTTGCCATTTGGTGAATTTTCTCTTGCAGTGTCGATATATTACATTTTAGACAAATTGGAGGCAGAGAAATGCCTTTCTTGATTCCAGTTTTTGCTTTTCATGTTACTAAATTTGTTTCCACTGTGCTGTGATCTTTAAAAGGTCATTAAGGTGAGGCTTTTCAAAGAAATTTCACACATAAACAAATGTATACAGACATAAATGTCAGTTCTTTCCTAGGATATAATAAACCATGTACTGTAGCTATGATTGCCATTGCTTTTCTCTGTAGAAGATTCTTATGTCGTCTGATGTTTAGACTGACACGTTACTGCAGGTTTCAGGAGGTAATGCAAGAAGAGGAGTTTCTAGAACTGGATCCTGACAGCCTGAATACTGTCCTAGCGGAGGAGAACCAGGAAGTGGTGGCCGAGGCGGTGGGCAGGTGGCTGGGTCATGACCCTCTCATCCGGACAAAACATCTCTCCTCCCTGGCACTGGTTAACCCAGCAAACCTCAACAATACCTTGCTGAAAATGCTTGGTTACTATGAGCTTAGTGACTTTGACAGCCTTCTGTCCTTGCTCACCTTAACGCCCATGTTCAAACAGCCCTCCATGAGCTTCACCAGGATGAGATCCAGCTACAAGATGATAGTAGTTGGGGGATACCGTTGGCGCCCTTTGCCTGGGGTTCAGTGCTGGGACCTGTCGAGTGGGGAGTGGGTGCAGGGTGAAGACATGCCGGATCACTCCAAGGAGAGTTATGCGGTGGCCTTACTGGGCTGTACCATTTATGTGAGCGGGGGGTACAGAACCAACAGCACTGAGGTGCTGGATGCAGTCTGGGAGTACAACAGCGAGTCTGACTGTTGGACTGAAGGACAGCCCATGTTGATTGCCAGGTACTTTGATAAAATGTCAGATATGTTTTTGAGTTGTTTGACACATTTTTTTGCTGCCTCTAATTAAATAAGATTTCAGTAAAAGTAGCAAAATCCTTTAGGCTGTGTTTAGACTGATGTGAGCTCTGCGTGGAAAAATGCAGCATATGGACACTTTGTGATGCATTCGGGATCCGCCAATGCAGAGAGCAGCTGCAAACAATACACACACACACACACACAAACGCAGGTTCACATGGCGAAAAAGTTTAACAACAGGAACACAATGTAGTGATGAATCAAATATGTTGAAGTGCACATTCCTGGTAGATTACTTTGTAACATGAATGCCATATAATACATCTTATATTTATCTGGCAGTGATAAAAAGGAATAAAATGATGGCCATGGTGATAGCCTTCCAGAGTTGTAAAATGCTTCCGTATAATATTATAAACAGCTGTGCAGTGTTTTGCTATCTGATAAGCCTTCAAACTCTTGGATCTTTTACACAACCTCGTCTTCCTGGATCATTTTTCATAGTCTCTCAATGATACCTGAAACAACATGGCCCCTCTCATTGCAACCCCTGGTTTTAATTTAAATGCCCACTCGCAAGTAAATGCATTCAAAATTTCACATACATATTTGTAGCAAAGTGTTGGTCAAGTATCAAAAGTAAAAGCACTAATAATGGAGACTGATCCCTTTCAGAATGTTACATATTGTATTATTGTAGCTAGTTGAGGTGGAGCTGATATGAACTGCTTTACTGCTAAGTAAAGTATTATTTATGTCTGAAATAAAATAAAATGGAAAATGGAAATTTTTGTAGTACTCATAGTACCTCAAAACTGTTAGTACAGTTATTGTGTAAATGTACTTGCTCTCCCCCCGCTACATTACTGAACATTACAGAACACAACATTTCTATTTTGGCAATACTGTTTAAACTTGGTATTTTTTTATATCTTATAATAATATTCATAAAACTCTGTTCAGGTACTACCACTGTTCTGTGGCCTGTTGTGGCTGTGTGTATGTTATGGGAGGCTACAGAGGAGGTTCAGCAATGCCCCGGACTGAAATGTTTGATCCCCTAAAGAGGACATGGATGGCTGTAGCTGATATGGTGCAAGGTGTGTTTCTACAACTATGTCACACATTTTACATCTCTCTGTTTCATGTAGATGTCATATTCAGCTGTCATAGGCTGTAGGATTTGTGCAAACAAGCTAAACTTACATCTATTGTCGCAGAGAGCCAGATGAGATCTATACACTCTCATATCTTTCCTGTAATATATATATATAGCCTATATGTGACTACAGCCAGCCGCTGGTTAGCCTAGCTTAGCATTTAGACTGCTAACAGATGGAAACAGCTAGTGTAACAAAATGACAACAAAACTTGAATCAAACAAACTCTTAATTAGTTAGCTTTAAAGGAGCTGGTACGTAGTTTTTGTTAGCGATGGATGGAGTCAGGCTAGGTGTCTCCAGTTGTTATACTAAGCTAAGCTATTGGGATGCTGACTGTAGCCTTATTATCATATATATCATATATTGATGGGCATACTGTAAATGAGGGTGGTATGAATTTTCCCAGTGAATAAGCCTATAAATTGACATGATCCTGCCTCTTTTTACAGGTGTAGGGAATGCCTCTGCGACTGTGTTGGGAAACAGCATCTATGTGGCAGGTGGTAATTGTGGCTTCAAGGGCATCTGTAGCTACGACAAGATCCAGAGGTACAAGGTGGACGTGGACCAGTGGAGTACCCTAACCACTTGCCCCCATCCAGGTAGTTCTGATATCAAATCTATTTCTGAAATAACCGACTTCTCAGGGGTAAAAAACATAACTGCTCTTGACTGTACACGCAGACAGACAGGACCTGTTTCCAGTTTAGCCATTATAATCCAATAATCTATCTTTACATAAAAATGCTCAGATTGAATCCCTGTTCTTGTCATGTCATTGCTCCCTGCAGAGTACGGGATGTGCCTGGTGTCTTTGAACTGCAGCCTGTACCTGGTAGGGGGCCAGACCACCCTCGTTGAGCGCTTCAACCCAGACACAGAGGAATGGATCCCGCTGGCCAGCATGAAGGAGAGGAGGATAGAGTGCGGGGCGGTGGCCATGCTGGGCTGTGTGTACGTCACTGGGGGCTACTCCTGCTCTGAAGGGACCTACCTGCAGAGCATGGAGAAATATGACCCTCACACAGATACGTGGGACATAGTTGGAGATCTGCCCGAAGCAGCTCGTTTGCATGGCTGTGTCTGTGTTTGTAATGGCACGTAGCGCGGAAGGGCAGCGGCGAGCCAGAGATACTGCATCATCACCTCGTCTTGGAACGACTGTTGTGCCATTTGGGTGAGCTGGTGTAATAGCTCCCCGTCAGGCAGTGATGTAGCAGCTGGTTTAAGTTTTATTGTAGTATATGTGGTTCTCCAGGGTCTGTCTCCTCCAAACCAACCGGGAACACTGGAAAACAAACTGGAAGGGGAATGTTTAATGTCCATGTACATTTCATTACCTCTGGGGTTAAAGAAATAGTTGACATTTTTGGAAAATATGTCTATTTGCTTTTTATTTAGCCCAAATATGACAAAATGGGTCACATAAATAGGTTAACCAGTAACTATACAAAACATAGCAGACTGTTTTTTCAGTTAGTAGCAAGAGCTGAAAGGCTTGTTTCTCAGCAAACATTTTGACTCATCAAAGCAAAGCTGTAATTAATACCATTAACAGTTTCTCTGTTGCATTGAAGAGTCAGTGAGGCCGCTGGTACAATGGCAGCGCTCTGATTCAGTGGCATGCTGTTATGAAGGGTCTTAGCTAATCAATATCAGTTCATCACATGATCGAATAGAGACTTGACACTGGACATCAACATCAACATACATATCACCCAGCAATTGTCACTGCATCTATGCATGATAAAAAATACCAAAGAAAACAAGAAGATATTCATGAAATTGAATTTATTTATTTATAGTTTATGTAGAATAAGCATATAGTTTTGATATAGTTTGCTACTGACTATTTTGCCAAATAAAAACCATGATGGAGAGATATATATAACAAATGTTAACATTTTAAATTTTATGTTCTTTGAACATAATTCTGATGTGGCACTTTGAATCACTCGCTAGGGCCTGTTCTGCATCCATCTCACGGGCCCTGGTGCAACCGCACTGCCTGTACTGTCTGTATTTATTGGCCCTGAAACTGCTAAAGCTATATGTAAATGGAGGGCAATCCTTATTTATGTATGCTATATGATTACTACTAGGTAAAAATGTCTGCCAAGAAAGAGGCCTGTTGTGCTCATCATTCTTTCCTTATAGCAAATATGTTTGATTTTTGTCAAGTTTTGTTTTTTTTGTTTCGATTTGTTGTCATTGTTTTGATCTTAAAATGAGTAAAATAACATTAAGTTGAAATGAGCATGGTTGTTGTTGTTGAGTGTTTATTGACTCTGACTCAATCAACTCAACAACAAATACATAATAGAGAAGGCCAGCCTTATAAGCACAATGAAAGTTGGGGGGTTAGGAAGCTACCTCCCCTCTTACCGTCTCCTCTGGGCTGGCAGGCAGACAGACATACAGACAGACAGACTGACAGACAGTCAGACAGACAGACAGACAGACAGACACAAACGTGGGGCTCTTAGGCTTTGCTCAGTGAGGTTTAACTCAAATGTAAGATTGTTTCTGCCTCCTGAAAAGCTCCTCCAATAAGGCCAATCAGCTTGCCTGGGTCTGGTTATTGGGTATCCTTAAGCAAGTAACTTCCAATCAACGTAGAGTTTTATCTGTTCTGAAAAGGGGACACTGTGTGTGTGTGCGTGGCTGTTTGAGAGTTAACAAAGTAAAATAAAGAGATAGATGAAGACAGATTGACAGGCTGCCCAGCAGATATGGAGGCAGACAGACACAGAGGGACAGTCTCCGGTCAGCTGTGTCTTTCTACCTCATCCTTATCTGATCTCCTGAATCACAGGGAGTTTCTCTCTGTACATTCCTACACTCATCATCACAGAAATGATACCATCCAGAGGAGAGTAATACCACTTAAATACAGATGAAACTCTTCATGGAACTGGAGCGTTCCAAGCTGCGTTTATGTGCTTTTTGCTTCCATTTTTGGATTGATGATTGTCGATCATTGCCACAGTGTGTATGAGCAAGTCAACAGTGCTACTGTTTGAAAGTATTTATTTTATTTTTTAATCATTATTTTTAGCCATGCTGGTGGCGTGCATGGCTCTAGGGGAGGCAATGTCGGACTGTTAGCTGGTCGATCAATCCATCACTGTGGTTCAGAATTAAATATCTCAACAACCACTGGATGGATTTCCATGTCATTTGTACAGATATTCATGGTCCCCAGTGGTTGAAGCCCAATGACTTTGGTGATCCCCTGACTTTACCTCCAGCACCACCAGCAGGTTGACATTTTAGCTTTTTAGTGACATGTCTCAATGACTATTGGATGGATTGCTGTGACATTTGAAACAGACATCAGTGTCCCCCCGAAGGATGAATTGTAATCACTTTAGTGATCCCTCAACTTTGCATATAGTGCCACCATTAGGTCAACATTTCAACATTTCAATTTCTGGTTAAAATTTGACTTTTACAATTCTTGGAGTGCACTTTGATGCTTGAATGACAGCAAGCGAAGATCAATGATTGATTTATAATCTGTTTTGAAACGGAATTGCTAAATATGAAATATTGCGTGAGTATTATATTATGCAACATAATTGAAGGCTTTACTGTGTAAGTCTGGGGTTTTAAACCGGAGAAAGCGGGTTTCTTTATCAAGCAACTGAAGGGTGACACATATTAATTATACTTGGGGATAGCAAATATGGCAATGGCTGCAATAAAGCAAATATGCCTTTGTAAATTGTGTGAAAGCCTATTAGGTATGCGCAGAACCCAGTCTGAACTAACATGACAAATGCTTACCCTTTTCTACCAATTACTCTAAAGTCTATGCTCATTGTTCTCTCTGACAATAATGGCCCAGATCTAAATCTCCTTGACCCATTTCATTTCAAGTTCCACTGCTGTGCTCTGACGGCTGAACACCAGGCTCTTTCTCCGCTCTTTCTTTCAAGTTTGGTGCCCTCTGCAGCACAGTCTGTACGGGTAAAAGTAATGAACAGAGGCTGCCAGGGGATGGCAGTCTTGCTCTATGTTGAATCTGTGAATATGCTTGACAAAAAATACACAGTCTGTGTGACAAGGAATGGTTTGTACCATGCTCTTTTGACTTTTCTTACATTTTTGAAAACCAAACTCAGAGGCTTTGCTCTTGACAAGCAAGGACACGAACAATCGTAAAATCAATGAAAGAGCTGATGGACAAGAGAATCTTGGTGAATTACCTTTGGATGTAGCCTGAGTAAGTGTTCATCCTTCATCAGTTATGTGGTGGAGGGTAAAGCCCCCCCTCATCTAAACTGCTTTCACTCATGGAATGCAGTTTCTCTACCTTTTGAATGCTGGGAAGCATGTAGCAGGTTGCCCTTGAACACGGCTCTTAACCCTGAGCACCTGCATTGAATATATCTGGGGGTGCTTTATATGAGCTTTGATCATACTGGTGACTCTACCGTTACTTAACCAGGTGCTTAGCAACCCCCTCTAAGAACAGCACGCTGCTAGGGAGCAACATATGTCATATACTTTACCATAAATGGTTAAAAGGTTCTCGTGACAAAGCAGTTTTTCATTTTTGGTATACTACCTCTTTACTAGATGTTTTTGTTGTATGTATTGATTGTACTGGTAATAGCAAGCCATTGCTGCTCAAGGGGATGAAAGGGACTCCTGTATGAACAGATAAGATTGGTGGTAACTGGTTGTCAATAGAAGTTGATAAAAGTCAAACATTATTTAATGTCACTAAGAAGGAAATCCACATCTTTGACACACCCAGTGTATTCCGCTCATATTTCCCCCTTTCATCTTTGCTCTCATCACAGCTCTGTTCAATGCCCCGGTCCTTGTTGTTTTCGCCCACTTAAAGCTGATAATGAAATGTATGCACTGGGCGAAGCAGGCGATTAATCAGAGCAGATGTGTATCTAGGTGAGTGCCAGAGCAAGTCTCTGGAGCGCAGCGGCCTGACGCCTCAAACTCCACACTGGCTTTAGAAAGGAAGCCGAGCCCCATGCACCCCCAACCACCCAAACACCCACCCACCCCATGGCTGTCATTGCCAACGTACGTGCCAGCCTGCCTTATTACAATTAATTAGCCGGTGCCGAAATGTCCTCACACTTCAGAGGCGATCATGTCTCATCTTGGCCACAAAAAGACTGCTGGTGGGCTGTTGTCATGTTTGCTGGCCTGATAAATCTGGGATGACATTTTACTAACACAATATAGTGGTTTTTATCCTTAAGGGAATATTACAGTAATCTTCCTGTAATGTTGAAATGAGAATATTGGAAGTTGGTAAAATTTGTTCATAGTCATAGTATAATAATACACTTTATTTATACAGCACCGTTAAAAGCAGCAGATTGATAAGTGATTTAAAAATATGTTACTCATTCTTTGTAGTCAATAGTTTATTTCATCCCGTCGTTGTCTTATCTTATCCTACTCATTTTTATTTACATTTTCAGAAATCAATGCTATTGGTCACCCTTTACATATGTCTGTGGGTTTAAAAAGTTAAAAGTATTTAAAAACCAATACCAACTTTGACAATACCATGTTCAATTATTATAAAAACAGGTTTTTTTAAATGTCCAATGTCTGGTTTTATACATACAAGCCTTCTGCTCCACAGCAACACTATCATAGTTTATCTCTTATAGCATCTTTTAGTAAACTTTATCAGTTGTTACACATAATTCATGGTTCCATTCTTCTAAAATGTGTTTACAACAATTCATCTTTCAGAGGGCCACACCAATAAAACTGTAAGTCTCTCAGTATTGGACTAAATATTCTCATAACATTGCCTGCTTTATGCCTATAGATTAATTACGAGCTGGATGTCATTCAGTCCACTCTGCTCATCACACAGATTCAGACTTTCCAGGAGTTGGCAAGAGCAGATGCCATTGCCTAGCTGATTAGTTGGAATGGAAATTATGCTAAACCAGAATTTTAATTCAATTGTTATTATTAAAATTAAGTAAGTTAAGTTAAAACGGGATAGGCTCTAAAAATAGCTTATTTTAAAATGCATTGATTCTGATTTTCAGGTGATTACACACTAATGAAAACCTTTAAATATTATATTACTTTTCTGCCAATAAGTAAGTATTTGAGAATAATCTCATAGTGTTATATCATAGTGTTTCTAGTATTTTTCACTGTATGCACAAGGCAAAATTACTTCTTGTAAAGTATGCTGTACAGAGAGAAAGAAACCTCGTCACATGGGTGTAAATTGTGCTGAAGAAAAGAAGATTAGAAGATTAGATTTTTCAAATTGAAAGCTAATTAGGTATTATGGGTACCTGGGGCAGCCAATATCAGTGGTTGAGGCATGTGTGCAAAAAGTTAAAATGTCCTACAAAAGTGAGATATTGCTTTAAAGTGTTTGAAATGGCACACTAGGGCTGTCTATGGCACAGGATGGCACCTGTTCATAAGCTTCTCAGAATGTCTATATTGTAACACTATAATATTGCAGGACTTTAGAAAAAAATTAGATAAAGCAACGATATGATATCATTAAATAAGGATCATTTGAGGAAGCAGAATACTTTTGAGGTGAGGCGCTATCATCAGTGTTTAGTAGTTTTCTCAGCTAGAAGTCAATGTGATGTATTGCTTGTCAATGAGAAAAACAATTCAGTTTTAAGGGATGCGTTTGTGGATGCGCGGGAACTGAAAACACCGTTAGGTTTCTGATGCGAAGCAGATATTAGTTTTGTTTGGCTGAG